GGCAACTCTAAGAAAAGAGTAAACCTTTGATTCGTAAAACTCGTAGTTATTTTGTCCGGGTCTTGACTAACCTTCAAGACTTAGGACGCTCGGGTCGGGTCGAGGGTACGATCCGTCGGAGATCTCGTCTTTTCGGGATTTTGAATTAAGAGCTATTTGGGAGCGAAGCACGCATCAAAAGTATAATTCTTGTTCCTAATCTTGTTTGGTTAAGTTTATTATGCTTGTTTAATTGCTTTAATTAAGGGGCGGGTCTTGGTGGGTTTCCTTCCGCGTAGTGTCGGGTCACTACGAAACCCTACATATTGGTCCCAACCGGTCATGTAACCTGTTATAACAGGTTACATGACACGTGGCGGCCTTTGATTGGTAAAAAAAATTAAAAACAAAAAAAAAAACAAAAAATAAGAAAAAACAAAAAAAAAATAAGAAAAAACAAAAAAAAAAACAGCCAACCACCAGGGAGCCAGCCCAGCCACCAGCCCAGGCCAGCCCCCTGCCGTCGGTACCTACTCCAGCAGACGCGCCGACGGCCGTCGGTCTACCTCCCCTTCCCTCTCCCCCTGCTCTTGCCCTACCATCACCAGCAGCCCACCGAACCACCCCCGCATCTCCCTCACTCACAACCCTACTCCCTCACTGCCACCACAGCATCCACAATCAGCACCACCTCACGCCACCCAGTAAACAATCGCAGCGGTGGATGTTTCGGGGCTGCAGTTTTGGGGCTGCAGTTTTTGCGGGTTAGGGTTCGTTTGGATGGGTGGGGCGACGGTTAAGGGGAGGTCGGAGTAATAGGGGGTGGTTCGGCCGGCGGTGGGTGAGCTGGACGCCGGCCGGCCGATTTCTGGGCTGGGGGGAGGGGAGCTGCGTGAAGGGCAGGAGGAGAGGTAATGGTGGCAGGGGTGTGGGGAAGGTGGTGGAAGGGGTGTGGTTTTTTTTTAATTTTTTTTTTAATATTGAACAAATCAAATTGTGACACGTGGAAATTAAGTTTAAAAAAAAATATTTACCACTTCAACCGGTTTCTTGTCAAATGGGACCAATAAAATTTAAAGATCCTCAAAGGTCGGATTATTAAATAATAATCGAAAGGTCGGATTATTAAAAAAGAATGGGCTAAAGGTCGGATTATTAAATAATAATCGAAAGGTCGGATTATTAAAAAAGAATGGGCTAAAGGTCGGATTATTGCCATGAATTTTTCCTAAACAAAATCAACAAACAGTAAAATAAGAGAAGAGAGAGTGAGAAAAGCTCATTGATTGATGTATGTAAATCGTCAAATCATCTTGTCACTAGTTGATAATAAAAAATACACAATTTCTCTTTGATTTTCCTCACTTTCTCTCTCTAATACCCTAACTATGGAGGCTTATCCTCCTTCAAACCCTAACCTAAGCTAAAAGAGAGAAAAGAGAGAGCTAAAACTAATTAAGAGAGTAATAATAATTAAGCCCTTACTAATTACCCCAAAAATGGGTATTTATACTAAGCTAGGAAAAGAAATAAAAGAAAGGGAAAAATAAATTAAAGGAAGAAAGAAAAGAAAATAAAGAAGGAAAGAGAAAGAAAATAAAAGGAAATTAAAAGGAAAAAGGCAAAGCACGAAATCAGATCCCCAAAACGCAGCTCTCCTCCTTTGATTTTGGTTGTTCTAAATCAATGGCTTCAACGCAATCGAACGGCTAATCATGAACATCATCACCATCAACTGATCTTGGCCGTTTATTTCATTCGCAAAGTTTCATTAATTCCGTACAAGCCTCAATCGTGAATTGGTTCGGTCGAACCATGGGTATGTCGGTCGAATCTGAAAGAAAGTTAGTGGCAAACTCAAATTACTTTCTAGACGAGGTTCGACCGAATTTCTGTACAGTTTGCCCGAACCTTGAGAATCTGCAATTTGCTCTATTTCTTGCGCGAATTGGTGAAGGGTGGAGGCCGGAACTTGCTGCTGTGTTGGTTGTGATTGCTGTGCGCGAGGCTGAGAAGAGGGAGCAGGGAATTGGCTGGTGGTGATGGATGCGGATTGGTGGATGCGCTATCAGGTGGTCAGGTGTGGCTGCGGTGTTTGAAGATGCGAGTGGGTGTGTGCTTGTGGCTGTAAATTGGTGGCTGGAGTGAGAGTGAGGTTGGAATGAGGTGCAGTTGGTGTCGGTTTGGCTGGCTGAAATTGGTGCGTGCAGGGCTGCTAGGATGCGGTTGCGACTGGTGTTAATTGTGGGAAGAGAGGTGATTAGGGGCAGCAGGGGCTGTGTTTGGTGGCATTGTGTAGATGTAGTGTAGGATAGGAAATTGGGTGGTGAAGGAAACGATGACAGCAATCAAAGGGGCAAAAGTAGCAGCACAACCAAGCCATGTATTGAACACTAAGTTCTAACATTTGAATCTCAAACCTTGGCTATCACCTACACACAAAACCAATAACAAAAAGGAAAATTGAGAATAAAATTAAATAAAGTAAAATGATAAAGAGACGCACAAAACACAAACCAAAAATAAATAAAACTATGAAAACGAATTAAAGCAAATAAAATACGAAAATAAACTAGAAATTAATCAAATAAACTAAATAAACTAAAACACACCAAAATTACAAAATAAACTAGAAACTTTATTAAAAAGAAAACAAGATAATAAAGGGGAAAAATAAGAGAAAACAAACGCGAAATGACTCTACTACTCCCTAAGAGTGACATAAATGTCACTTATCAGAAGCATCTACACCAAGTGGCATCATCCAACCCCTGAAAGTACATGAGGTTGGTGTAGGCCATCAGGCGGTCTTCTAGGTTGGTGGTGCCATCATAGGCACCAACCAAGACATTCTTAACCTTGGTCGACAGTGACGCCTTGATTATCTCCTTGGAGAACGCAAAGGGTTGTTCTCCAAGTTTTAGCAAACGTAGCTGCCAGTCCAATGGCTAGACTTGATATGCCGCCTGACCTCCGAAGAGGGCAGGTTGCTGGTAAGGTTGGGCAAATGACCTGCATGTTTGTTGGGGCACATACGGGACCGAGTCTATCATTTGAGGACCTATATAGACGGACTGGCTGCCTGACAGGTGCTCCTGTGTAGATTATGAATACCTCATCGAGGTGATCCTGAAGCTGTCTGGCATTGTCGACGTTGAAGCCGTGTCAGACAATTGGTTGTTCCACTTTTGCTCAATAAAATGTCGAGCATCAGCGTTAGTCTTTTTGCTGCCATCCGGCTGCACATGCCAAATGGGTTTTCTATAGGTCTCCCCTGGGAGACGAAGTTTACTCCAATCAATTAAGGGTCGGTCCCCCTAATTATGCTTGGGATGCAGAGTGGGCAGCCTGTCCTTGACCGACTTTGTCTTCCGGGAATGAGAAGGTTTCTTGGACGACTGTCCTTTGCTTGGACCAGCCGTTTAGGTCTTGATGAGGTCTCTTATCTCACCTTTGAAGTTTGTCATGAACTTCACAAACTCCTCACGAGTGATGTGAGCTGTCTGCCCTGTAGCCTGGGGTTGGCCGCCTAATTTGCAATGTCCCGCATGGCCATTGCCCTGCTCTTTTTTCTCTTTTTGGCAGATGCGTTTTGTGATGAGGGATCCATCTTTGGCCGTATGTACTTCGACCTGGATCCGACTCCATATCATGGTCCGAATGGACCTCTATTTCTAGACGTTTGTCCTTAGGAGGCGGTACAGTCTCTTAAGAAACCATCTTAGAGGTACTCTCCCCACAGATGGCGCCAAATGTTTTGGGGTTTTTTGGATGTCCAGCGGGAGAGTTACGTCACTAAGTCTGGATCCTCGTTGTCTGTACTTGTAACAAACGGAAGCTCCGGTTGTTCGGAGTTCCACCTACGACGGTTAAGTTAGTACGTGTTCGGAGTTTAAAATGCGGAAAGTAAAAGTATCTTCTCGGATCCCGAGATCAGATGAATTCTCTGCTGTGGGAGAATATTAAATGATGTAATAAATGAACATGCCCCAAATTGGGGTAAATGTCCCTATTTATAGGATCATTGGGAATTGTGCCCCTACCTAGGTCACTCTGAACTAGATTTGGTGGGTTGCGCCGCTTTTGCGGCTTCTTGGGAAATGGGCCTTGAAGGCCGCCATTCCCTTTGAACATCTGTATGCCACGTGTCGAGCCCTGGGAGGTCCATTTTAGATTCTTCTTAGGGTAACACGTGTCACACTCTTATTGGTCCACGTGGCTGGGGTAAAAATACCTAAATCAATTATACCAACAAATTAGGTTCAAGAACACCTTCAATCTAGCCCCAAGAAAAAATTCCTCAAGCAAGCTTCAAGGTCCGCCAATGGAGAACGCAAAAGTTTCGGACCAAATTTGAAGTAGAAATGGTGAAAGTGATGATTTTGATGGAGATTGAGGGAATTTTGTAGAAATTTGAGTGAAAATTGGTAGGATTTGTGAGATTTGTGGAGTTAGGGTTTGAGAGATTTGGGGGTTTTGAATTCTAGAGAGAGAATGAGCAAGAGAAGTTGAGCAAGAGGAAAGAGAAATAAGGCTCGACATTTAGAGAAACCGGGTTATTAAAACCCAGAACGCCGCGCCCGTGGTTTGCCACCTGTTGCGCTCGCGATAAGTAGGGTCGCGCCCTCTCCTTCCCCACGGTGCGGCATCTATAGGAAGTTTGTTGAGTTCTAAATACCAGGGCACTGCGCCCTCTCTCCTCTATGCTACGCCCGCGGTGACCTGGAGAGGGCTCTCCTAGGCGACTCTTGATTTTAGCCTTGAGACTCACTTTTTCACCTTCTTCTTCTATCATAGGCCAATCCTTTGCTCTTGAAATCCCTCCTGTTAAGATTATAACTCCTTCAAATCTTCATCCACAAACTCAATGCCCAAAGTTCAAATTCCTACAAAAAACACACAAGACAAACAAAAGAACATAAGCAAAGAACTACGGGAAAAATCAACTAAAATCAACCAAAATAAGAAGAAATAAAAGAAAGAAAGGATTGAGATCTCGGGTTGACCATGAGATGTTGTCTTCAAGAGGGTGGCTTAGGATCCATAGGATCAAGCCGAATGCACTCGATCAAACCAACTTCATCCTTGCAAAGATAATGCTTCAAACGATGGCCATTCACCATGAACTTATGATCGCCCGCCTATAACTCAAAAGAACCATAAGGAGTAGTCTTTGATATCACAAAAGGGCCCGACCATTTGGATTTATGCTTTCCGAGAAACAAGTGAAGCCTAGAATTGAATAACAACACCTTGTCTCCAACCTTGAAAATCTTGTTCCTTATGTGTTGGTCTTGCCACTTCTTAGTCTTCTCCTTATATAGCTTTGAGTTCTCATAGGCATCATATCTAAGCTCTTCCAATTCATTAAGCTTAAGCAATCTCTTCTCTCCGTCCAATGATAAATCCATGTTGAGATCTTTGATAGCCCACCAAGCCTTGTGCTCCAACTCAACTGGTAAATGAAAAGCTTTACCATAGACCAAACGATACGGAGTCGTGCCAATGGGGGTTTTGTATGCCGTTCTCAAGGCCCATAATGAGTCATCAAGCTTAAGGGACCAATCTTTCCTTAACTTGTTCACCATTCTCTCAAGAAGATTCTTGATATCTCTATTAGACACTTCCACTTGCCCTTGAGTTTGAAGATGATAAGGTAGACCAACCTTATGATGGACTCCATACTTCTTGAGAAGAGCTTCAAGTTACTTCTTGGCAAAGTGAGAACCACCATCACTAATTAGCACCCTAGGGACCCCAAACCTTGGAAAAATTATCTTCTTGAGAAGCACTACTAGAAAACAGTCAATCAACGACGGAAAAAATCCGTCGGAAAACCCTGAAATTCCGTCTGAAATGCCCATTTCCGACGGAATTCCGTCGGAAAGCATTGTCGGAAGACCTTTTGTAGGTATTTTGCGATATTCCGTCGGAACGGTCTATTCCGACGGATTTTGTTCTGTCGGCGCTTTTGTTGACTTTCAGTGTAAATCCGTCGCAAGTTTCCGACGGAAATTTCCGTCGGAGTGTGATGTGTTCCGACGAAAATTTCTGTCGGTGGGGGAGATGTTCCGATGGAATTTTCCGTCGGAGGCGGGATATTCCGACGGAAAAATCCGTCAGAAAAATAAAAAAAAAAACAGCTCCCACCCCACCTGCCCAGACCACCCCCACCCCCACCCACACCCACACCCAGCGCCACCAGACTACCCCCTAACCCACCACACCAACACTGCCCACCCCACCCTCTGCCCCCCTGACTACCCCCTACCCACCCACACCAACGCTGCTCCCCTACCCCCTTGCCCCTAACCCGTACCACCAACCCACAACCACCTTAAACCACCCACACCAACACTGCAAACCTACCCCCCTTACCCACCAAACCACACCACCCTACAACCACCTTAAACCACCCACACCAACACTGCCCACCTACCCCCCTTACCCACCAACCTACACCACCCCACAATCACCTTAATCCACCCCCCCAAAACCCGAAACCACCAGATCTACCACCTTAAACCACCAACCACCGACCATCACACCCCCAAAAATTTTTAAAAAAAAACAAAGAAAAAAGTCAGAAAAACCGAACCACCCACCATCACACCCACAAACCGAACCACCCCCACCACCAGCCACCACCACCGCACCTCACGCAACCAAAACCCCAACCTTCCCGGAAAAACGAAAAAAAAAATACCGAATTCGAAAAAAAAAAAAACAAAAATTACAAACACAAAAACATACCTTAAAACTTTAATTGAGTTCGAGTTTGGTTTATTAAGGCCAGATTTGACCATGAAAAGTCTAGATCTACACTTTTCATGGTCAAATTTGACCACAAAAACCATTAAATCTTAGGGGAAGGAGAAGGGGCGAGGAAGGAGAAAGGGGAAGGAGAAAAGGGGCGAGGAAGGAGAAAGGGGAAGGAGGAAGGGGCGAAGGGAAGGAGAAAAGGAAAGAGGAAGGAGAAGGAGGAAGAGGAGATCAGAGAAGAACAGGAAGAGAAGAGGAAGGAGGAGAGAGAAAGGGAGAAGATGAAGGTTCCGAATTTCTGGAATTTGGGTATTAGGGTTGAAAAATTTCTGGAATTTTTTTTTTATATAGTAGGACGTTCCGATGGATTTTTCCGTCGGAATATTTAGGTTTTCTGAGGGAATATTCCGTCGGAAATTTCCGACGGATTTAAATTCCCTAGGAAAACTAACTATCCGACGGAATATTCCGTCGGAAGCCTATTGTTCCGAGGGAATTAACTTCCGTCGCAAGATTTCTGACGGATTTTCCGTCGTAACGAACTATTTCTGACGGAATGTTCCGACAAATCATAATTCCGTCGGAAAGTTCGGAATTTCCGACGGAATTTACGTCCGTCGGAACGATTCCCTCGGAAAACGGCCTATTTCTAGTAGTGAAGCTTGAGCACAACCTTATGATCATTGGTGGGGGAAGGAATGGCTTCAATCCACTTAGTGACATAATCAACCGCCACCAAAATGTACAAATTCCCACACAAAGATACGAAAGGTCCCATAAAGTCTACACCCCATATATCAAAAGGCTAAACCTCCAAGATGTTTTGTTAAGGCATTTCATCTCTTTTGGTGATTCCACCACTTCTTTGGCACCTATCACATCTAGAAATGAACTTGTGAGCATCCTTATGCATCATTGGCCACCATAAGAGAGATTGAGAGATTTTTGCCACTGTCTTGTCAACTCAACCATGTCCACCACATGGTAACGAGTGGCAATGCTCAAGAACTCCTTCAATTTCATGATTCGGGACACATTTACAGAGAAGGCCATCTCCGCATTGTTTGAACAAGTAAGGAACATTCCAAATGTATCTCCTCGCTTCCTTGAAGAACCTTTTCTTTTGTTGAGAGGAAAACTCCAGGGGAATGACTCCACATGCAAGATAGTTGGCTATGTCCGCATACCAAGGGATAGATGTTGAAGCTATAGACATAAGAGTCTCAATTCCCATCTCCTTATTGATGGGTACGTCATCCTTGTTTTCAAAAGGGAGCCTAGACAAGTGGTCCGCCACATAGTTTTCCGCTCCTTTCTTATCTCTCATCTCCATGTCAAAATGTTGAAGCAAAATAACCCAACAGATGAGGCGTGGCTTTGCATACTTCTTGCTCATAAGATAATGAACCGCTACATGATCCATGTACACAATGACCTTTGAGCAAACAAGATAGGACCTAAACTTGTCCATAGCAAACACAGCCACAAGCATCTCTTTCTCTGTTGTTGTGTAATTCTTTTGAGCTTCATCAAGAGTTCTACTTACATAGTAGATGACATAAGATTTCCATATTTCCTTTGACCAAGGACCGCACCCACAGCAAAATAACTCGCATCGCACATTAGCTCAAATGGCAAGCCCCAATCCGAAGCTTGCACAATGGTAGAGGAGATAAGAGCTTCCTTGAGCTTATGAAATGCTCCAAGGAAAGCCTCATTAAAGCAAAACTCAACATCTTTCTTAAGCAATTCGGTCAAAGGTTTGGCGATTGTTGAAAAATCTTTGATAAATCTCTGGTAAAAATCGGCATGCCCAAGGGAAGCTCTTACTCTTGTGATGGAAGTAAGAGGGGGCAACTTGGCAATCACCGAAACTTTGCCCAAATCTACTTCAATGCCTTTCTTGGACACTTTATGGACTAGGACAATGCCCTCCTCGACCATAAAATGACATTTTTCCCAATTCAAAACCAAACTCGTCTCTTGAAAAAATCCGGAGTACCCATCCAAAAAAGCAAAAGAAAGGGTGGTGAGAAAGCCTCTCCAACATTAAGTCCATGAAGGGGAGAGGGAAATGATCTTTCTTTGTGTTTTTATTCAACCTCTTATAGTCGATGCATATTCTCCACCCGGTCACCGTCCGAGTGAGATGTCCTCTCCTCCTGTTGGGTTTCTTAGCGTCGAACGCTACGCGGAAGACAAACCCGCCCAAGACCCGCCCCAATAATTAAAGCAATAAAGCATGCATAAACATAATTAAACAACAATTAAGAGAAGGGAGAAAGAAGTAATACCCTTGAAGCGTGCTTCGCTCGTAAACTGAGCTCTTACTTCGAAGCTTAAAGCCTCACAAGTGTGACGGCCTCCAACGGCTCATACCCACGACCCGACCCGAACATTCTTCGCCTCGAGGGTTAGTCGAGACTTAACCAAGTATAAAACTAGAGTTTTACGAACTTAAAGGTTTTCTCAATAATAAGAGATGCCTTTTTGAGTTCCACTCAAGTTGATTTCCAAATGCCCAATCATGGGGTATTTATAAGGAAATGCAACTTGCTCTTCCCATTCATGATCAATGTGGGATAGTTGCATTTTCTACTAATTTATTTAAATAAAAAATAAATATTAAAACAATGCAATCAACAATCAACAAGTGGCATGAGGAGAGGACGGAGAGGTTAGTTGAGGACCATAACCAAAAGGGGGGACCATTGCCTTGCTCCCCAAGGCTTTTCTCCAAGCATTAGTTCCCACTCCTCCTAAATCGGCATTAAGGACAAGGATGGGCTGGTAGCCTGCCTTGCTGGCCAGCTAGCATAGCCAGCCTGCCCTTGCCAGCACGCCCCAGCACATGCGTGCTACTAGCGAGCCACGCATGCTGCTGGGCGCACAGCAGTGCTAGGCGCTAGGCTAGGCCTCACTGCTTGCTGCTTGCTGCTTGGTGCTGCCATGCAAAGGCACGCACATATGCAAGCAAGCACGCTGCGATGGTGTTGTGCACGCACACACTCAAGCCATGGTGCTGCGATGGTGCTGCCATGCGAAGGCACGCACGCACACGAACCATGGTGCTGTGCTAGCTCGAGCTAGCCTAGCAACCACATGGTCAGGCCAATGTGATGCTACGGCTTTGCTCGAACTTGTTGCTTGTTGATTTCGCGACGCTCAGTCTTGACGCCCTAGGCTCGATATCTGACATCTGTGTTCGTAATACTCTAGTGACTCATTAAATCCTTCGGATTGATTCTTCGGTTTGGATCGGCAGTTCGTTTGGGTTCGACCCGAAGGGTTCAGTCAAGACAAAGCTGTAATATAAGTTGTTCACTAATATTACAGATCGGAAGCGACCTCCATCCAGGCATTCCGATCACTTGATCTCACTGAAGAATTAGCTTCCTGATAATTCTGAACCCTCTAACAGAACAGTACACTTGTTGGAAGGACACCATTCCTTTCAATCTCCCACTTGTCCTGCCGGACAAGTGTGCATACATTGTATAGCCTATTTCCTATGTCGCTTAATGTCTCTTCGTGAACTATAAGGTAATATTCCCTATTGTTAATAGGGGGACATTCCCAGACTTGTACTGTAAGCCTCTCTTACTAAGAGGACCTAATCTCCCGAGTGTTCCCGTTATAATCCCTAGTTACAACGGACGTTTGACAACATCAAAGAGACTATTACTCAAACAAGAGAACTTCACAATACTCATGGTTGAGGAAACAGGTTCCGATAGCTATAATGAGAAATGTACTTATGACGTTTTAAATCTCTTAAAGTACTCTCATAGGTCAATCTGGTGCAGTTCCAAACCAGCACCTATGCAAATGATTTATGACTACTGTGTCTTTGCAGCACAAGAAACGGTGTTGTAAATCATACTACACACTAATCTCCAATGGTCATTAATCGTCCATCAGTTAAATGACCTCGATTAGGGATAATTTTCGATTTAAATATTCAATGTTCACTTAACAGGTGTTTCTTTATCCAAGACATGGTCTTGATACCCTGTTTTGAATATTCTCATAAATCGAATGGACTCATTATTTAATTCTAAACCATAATTAAATAGCAATGGAGTGAATGGTAATTTTTGCATAAAATTAATTACCCCATAAATGAATGTTTTCAATATAGTGTTTTACATTAAGACATCTAGTTTAATTAAAACACATGTATAGGGAATTCAAAGCCAATCTCCAACGTGCTTGATACCCATTGCCTCGACGTACTTGTTGTGCTTCACTTGAGGCAGAGGTTTAGTCAAAGGATCGGCCACATTGTCATCCGTTCCGATCTTACAAATTCTGATTTCACCTTCGGATTTCCATTCCCTTATCATGTGAAATCGCCTTTGGACATGTTTGACCTTCTCGTGCTCTCTTGGCTCTCTGGCCTGAGCAATAGCTCCATTGTTTTCACAATAGAGATCTATTGGACCCTTGATGAGGGTATAACACCAAGTTCACTGACGAACTTACGAATCCAAACTGCCTCCTTAGCTGCTTCCAAAGCTGCCAAGTATTCAGCTTCAGTTGTAGAATCTGCAGTGGTGCTTTGCTTGGCACTCTTCCAACTAAACGCTCCTCCATTTAGGAAGAATATGTACCCTGACTGTGACTTGAAGTCGTCTCTGTCAGTCTGGAAGCTAGCGTCGGTGTAACCTTCAAGAACCAAATCTTTGTGGCCACCATTGACCAGGAATTTATCCTTGTTCCTTTTCAGGTACTTTATGATATTCTTGGCAGCAGTCTAATGTGCCTCTCCTGGGTCTGATTGGTATCGACTCATAGCACTTAAGGCATACGATACATCAAGCCTAGTACATATCATGGCATACATGATCGATCCAATTAGCGAAGCATATGGAATCTGATTCATTCTCTCCCGCTCAACAGGTGTCTGTGGACACTATTTCTTGCTGAGAGTTACGCCATGGGACATAGGCAGGTGCCCTCTCTTGGCATTCTCCATGCTGAATCATGCCAGTACTTTGTCAACGTAAGTACTCTGGCTCAATCCAATCATCCTCTTAAATATATCCCTATAGATCTTGATGCCCAATATGTACTGTGTCTCTCCTAACTCCTTCATTGAAAAGCACTTTCCCAGCCAGCCCTTTACAGACTCTAATAATTTTGTGTTGTTTCCAATGAGCAATATGTCATCGACATATAGGACTAGGAATGCGATATCACTCCCACTGACCTTCTTGTAAACACAAGACTCATCTGGATTCTTAATAAAACCAAACTTACTGATGGCTTCATCAAATCGCAGATTCCAACTTCTGCTTGCCTGCTTTAGTCCATAAATGAACTTCTTAAGCTTGCATATCTTTCCAGCGTTGCTTGGATCAACAAAACCTTCCGGCTGTGTCATATACACAGTTTCTTCCAAAATCCCATTAAGGAAGGCGGTTTTGACATCCATTTTCCATATTTTGTAATCGTAATATGCCGCAATCGATAGGATGATCCGGACGGACTTAAGCATTGCGACTGGCGAAAAAGTTTCATCATAATCAATCCCTTGGATTTGCCTGTAACCTTTTGCCACCAGTCTAGCTTTTTATATTGATACATCTTTGTCTGTTTTCAATTTGAAAATCCATTTACAACCGATAGGTGTATAACCTTTGGGAAAATCCACCAAGTCCCACACTTGATTTTCAGACATGGAGTTCATATCGGATTTCATGGCCTCTAGCCATTTAGCAGAGTCGGGGCTTGTCATAGCTTGTTTGTATGTCGCTGGCTCATCTCCATCCACAAGTAGGATGTCCTAATCTTCGGTTATGACGATACCAAGGTATCTGTCCGGTTGAGTTCTTGGCCGTTGCGACCTACGAAGGGTAATAGGGTGAGCATTTTCATTGTCTGTTTGATTCTGACCAATCTTATCAACTGCTTCAAAAGCATTTTGATTGTCAGTTTTATCAAGTTGACATTGTTGCTCGTCCTCTCGAACTTCGTCGAGTTCGATTTTCCTCCCACTTGTCATTTTGGAAAGGTGTTCCTTCTCCAAAAAGACACCATCACGAGTAACAAACACTTTGTTCTCGGATTTATTATAGAAGTAATACCCCTTGGTTTCTTTTAGGTAGCCCATAAAGAAAGACTTGTCTGATTTTGGGTGAAGCTTGTCAGAAATTAATCGCTTGACATATGCTTCGCAACCCCAAATCTTAAGAAACGACAATCTTGGAGGTTTCTTAGTCCATAATTCATATGGAGTCTTTTCGACAGCTTTGACGGAGCACGGTTCAGCGTTAGTGCCGCAATTAGTAGCGCATGTCCCCAGAAAGAGATAAGAAGTTCACTAAGACCCATCATTGATCGAACCATGTCTAACAAGGTTCAATTTCTCCTCTCGGATACTCCGTTCCATTGAGGAGTTCCAGCAGGTGTCAGCTCTGAAAGAATACCATTTTCTTTCAAGTAATCGTCAGATTCATGGCTCAAATATTCGCCACCTCGATCTAGTCTAAGTGCTTTTATCTTCTTGGCAAGTAGATTCTCAACTTCTTTCTGAAACTCTTTGAATTTCTCAAAAGATTCAGATTTGTTCGACATAAGGTAGACATAGCCATATCTACTATAGTCGTCGGTGAAGGTAATGAAATATCGATGACCTTGCCTTGCGGGTGTACTCATTAGTCCACATACGTCCGTATGTATTAGACCCAATAAGTCACTTGCCCTTTCTCCCAACTTGGAGAATGGCTGCTTTATCATCTTGCCTAATAGACATCCTTCGCAATTTTCAAATGACTCCAAGTCGAATGAGTCAAGAACACCTTCTTGTAGAAGTTTCTTGATGCGTTTGACGTTAATATGGCCAAGACGACAATGCCACAAGTAGGTTTGATTCGACTCGATGGTCTTAGCCCTTTTGGCGGTATCATTAATGTTATAAACTTGTTTGTCAA